ATGATCCGAATCTCTCACCACTCACAAAAATTAATTGAAAATGGATAAAAGATTTAAATGTAAGGCTTGAAACCATAAGAACTCTAGAAGAAAATTTTGGAAAAACTTCTAGGTATCAGCCTCAGTTAAAGAATTTATGAAGAAGACCCCAATGATAATCACAGCAGCAGCATAAACAAGTGAATAGACTGGATTAAATTAAAAAGCTTCTGCACAGCCAAGGAAATAATCAACATGACAAATAGACGACCTACAGAATGGGAGAAAATATTCGCGAACTATGCATCTGAAAAAGGACTAAAAACCAGAATCTACAAAGAATTCAAGCAAATCAGCAAGAAAAAAATCAAACAACTCCATTAAAAAGTGGGCAAAAGACCTGAACAGAAGCTTTTCTGAAGAAGATAGACAAAAGGCCAATAAACATATTTTAAAATGCTCAACATCACTAATCATCGGGGAAATGCAAATTAAAACCACAATTATCACCTTACCTCCCTTAAAATGGCTTTTATTAAAAAGTTCAAAAACAATAGATGCTGGCATAGATGCAGAGAGAAAGTAACGCTTACGTGCTCTTGGTGGGACTGTAGATTAGTACAACCTCTATGATACATTGTAATTGTGTATATTTATTGGGCGCAATTTGATATTTCTACACATGTATATGTTATATAATCATCTAATCAGAGTTATCATATCCATTACCTCACACATTTATCATTTCTTTTGATAAAAACATTCAAAAACCTCTTTTCTAGTTATTTTGTAATGTACAATACCTTGGAGCTAACCATAGTTACCCTACTGTGTAAGAGAACACCAGAATTTATTCTTTCTATTTAACTGTAAATTTATACCCTTCGATCAACCTCTCCTCATCTTACCTTTCCCTAGCCACTCCCACTGTTCTACTCTCTAGTTCTATAATATCCACCTTTTGGGATTCCACATATGAGGGATATCAAGAAATATTTTTCTTTTTGTGTTTGGCTTATTGTCCTCCAGGTTCATCCATGTTGTTGCAAAGGACAAGATTTCATTCTTTTTTGTGGCTGAATATTATCCCATTGTGTATATATACCATGTTTTCTTTATCTATTCATCCATTCTTTTTTTTTTTTTTTTTTGAGACAAAGTCTCACTCTTTTGCCTGGGCTAGAATGAGTGCCGTGGCGTCAGCCTAGCTCACAGCAACCTCAAACTCCTGGGCTCAAGCCATCCTTCTGCCTCAGCCTCCCGAGTAGCTGGGACTCCAGGCATACACCACCATGCCCGGCTAATTTTTTCTACATATTTTTAGCTGTCCAATTAATTTCTTTCTATTTTTGGTAGAGATGGGATCTCGCTCTTGATCAGGCTGGTCTCGAACTCCTGAGCTCAAACAATCCGCCTGCCTCGGCTTCCCAGAGAGCTAGGATTACAGGCGTGAGCCACCGCGCACGGCCATTCATCCATTCTTAAATAACGTGACTCTTATAAATAGTGCTACAATAAACATGAGAGTACAGATATCTCTTTGATATATTGATCTGATTTCCTTTTGATATATATCCAGTGGTGGGATTGCTGGATTATATGCTAATTCCATTAATTTTTTTGAGGAAATTTTATACTTTTTTCCATAATGTCTGTACTAACGTACATTCCCTAAAGCAGTGTATGTGTTCTGTTTTGTCTACACCCTCACCAACTCTTGTTTTCTTTTGTCTTTCTGATAATAACCATTCTAATTGGAGTGGGAGGGCATCTCTTTGTGGTTTTGATTTCCATTCCCCTTATAGTTAGTGATGTTGACTATTATTTTCATATACCTCTTGGCCTATGTCATCTTTTGGGAAATCTCTATTGAAGTATTTTGCCCACTTTTTAACCAGGTTATTTTACTTAATTTTAATTTTGCTGTTGATGTTTTTATGTTCCTTATATATTCTGAATATTAACCTATTGTCAGATGTATAGTTTGCAAATATTCTCTCCCTTTCTGTAGGTTGGCTCTTCACTTTGTTGTTTCCTTGCTGCGCAAAAGCCTTTTAGTTTGATGCCATCCCATTTGTCTCTTTTTGCTTTTGTTGCCTCTGTTTTTGACATCTTATTTTAAAAATCCTTGCTCAGCCCCGTGTCATTAAACATTTCCCTTATGTTACCTTCTAGTAGTTTCACAGTTTAAGGTTTTACATTTAAGTATTTAATTCATTTTGAGTTGCTTTTTGTTTATGATGAGGGCTAGGTGTCTCTAGTTTCTTTCTTCTGCATATGGATATCTAATTTTCCCAGCATCCTTTATTAAAGAGAATGTCTTTTCCTCAGTGTGTGTTCTTAGCACCTTGTCAAAAATCAATTGGCTATAGGCGCATGAATTTATTTCTGGGCTCTATTCTGTCCCATTGGTCTATATGTATGTTTTTATGCTGGCATCATGCTATTTTGGTTACTATAGTTTTGTAGTATATTTCAAAGTCAGGTAATGTGATGTCTCCAGCTTTTTTTTTTTTTTTTACTCAGTATTGCCTTGGCTATGCATCATGCTATTTTGGTTACTATAGTTTTGTAGTATATTTCAAAGTCAGGTAATGTGATGTCTCCAGCTTTTTTTTTTTTTTTTTACTCAGTATTGCCTTGGCTATCTGTGGTCTTTTTTGGTTCCCTATAAATTTTAGGATTTTTTTTTTTCATTTCTGTAAAGAATGTAATTGGCATTTTGATAGGAGTTGCATTAAATCTTCACATCACTTTGGGCAGTATGGCCATGTTAACAATATTAATTCTTCCAACCCATGAATATAAGATATTTCCATTTATTTGTGTCCTCTTTAATTTCCTTACTCTTACAATTTTCAGTATATGGATATTTCACCTCCTTGGTTAAGTTTATTTCTAGTTATTTTTTGATACTATTATAAATGGATCTTTTTATTTCTTGTTCAGATAATTCGCTATAAGCATACAGAAACACTACTAGTTTTTGTATGTAGATTTTTGTATCCTCACCTTTATTGAATTTATTAGTTCTAACAGTTTTTATGTGGAGTTCTTAGGATTTTCTATGCATAAGTTCATGTCATCTGCAAACAGGGACAATTTGACTTCTTCTTTCCCAATTCGGATGACTTTTCTTTCTTTCCCTTTCCTAATTGCTCTGGCTAGGACTTCCAGTGCTATATTGAATAGAGTCATTCAAAGTGGGCATCCTTATCTTGTTCCTGATCTTAGAGAAAACCTTTCAGCTTTTTCCATTCAGTATGTTAGCTGTGAATTTGTCATATATGGCCCTTACTGTGTGGAGGTACATACCTTCTATACCCAATTTGTTGAGAGTTTTTATCAAAAAGGGATACTGAATTTTGTCAAATGCCTTTTCTGCATGTATTGATATAATCTAATCACTATGCAATACCTTTTCCATTTTTCCTCTTCTTAGTTGACATTACTGTCCTAATAAGTGATCTTGATTTGTTGTTTTTAGAAGACACAAAATTTGCCCTTACTGTATTTTTGGTTAATTGGGAATTAAGCACAAAGGCAATCCTATAGGTGGCCACCTTAAGAAATAGACCCCCACTTATCTAGACTGGGATGTAGCTCTCCTGCAAGCATAGATACGTTTTATGAGGTTGCTTTTAACTCTCTGTTTCACAAAAAAAGGCTTAATAGTAACAGATGAACAGATGATTGTCTCAATGACTTCAAGTGTGTTGACATTATCAAGCTACTTTTGAAAAGATGAAACTTTAATAATCCAAGAACAATATTTGGAAAATTCATTATGCTTTTAAAATTTCCTTCTTTGTTTTCATTAGGTGGGAAATATTTTTCTATTATTGAAAAAAAATCAATGAGTAAGAAACCTGAACTCTTAAATCATGAAATGAACCTACATTTATCTAGGGAAAATAAACTCAAAGAATATAAACCAGAAAAGTGCAAATCGGTTTTAAAAATACAGTTTTAAATAGCTATCAAATGCAGTGCACGCTCCATAAACTGCAGAGGGCTTCCTGAATAAAATATGAGGACATGTAGCTCTGAGACTATCTATCTCAGTTAGTTAAAAAAAAATCTGAAGAAAATTTCTAAATAGGCCATATAGTATCTGCAAAGGAATAAACAAAGTAGCCAGTAGTGACAGTGTTTGCTTTTCATGTGGTGGAACTGTGTGCAAATACAAGGCCTAACAAATGTCAGCTCCTCATTTGCAAATAAAGATGTAAAAGGAAATGTCGGTGACAGTACATGCAACAGTTCATATTTGAAGTTTGGCACAGTGAACTGACAGCTACAGAGGAGCTGCAGTGGCTTAATCCTTTTTTTCTGCCTTCCAGTAATGATAGTGGGGAAAGGGGGGGAAGTTAATAAATATGTGATGAGGAAAAGCTGTGGAAGAATGGCATATCTTCTCCTCTGCAAGAACTCATCTTCGGAGATAATTAACTAGGTGACAACATACAATGTGCCATTAACAACAGCATTCAAATCATTTCTGGACTTAAGTACAGTTTTAAGCCGCTTATCAGATTTTCATTTCTGAATCCATTCAGCTGTCAGGCTTACATCCTGGCTCTTTATTGAAGCTCACATGGGAATCCAAAACCTTCTAATTTTCTATACAGATTCATTTCAGAATCAATTAGAGTTGGTGGCAGCCTTGTCCCTGTGTGCAAAGGGGATTAGCTGGGCACTTACTCAGCTGAATCTACCTCTGAATGTACATTCAACCTTCCATCGAGAATGAGCTCTTTCTCCCCTCTTCTAGAGGACCCTTCAACAATTGAACCGCTGTAGACAACAGATGGCGGATAATCACTCGAACAGCCTCCAATTTTGTCAGGAAAGGAAAAGTGATCATCCAACTCTCTCTTACAGTAGGTAAGAGACCTCTGGGCATTCGAAGCATGCTCTGCTTTTAAAATAGGGAAATCTGCAGTCGCCCCCCCTTCTCCGACAATTTCCTAACAATGTCATCCCTGAGTCCTTATCTCTGACTGTCTCTCATCAACTACTGGCGCATCTTCACGAGTTTTCGGCATTCACATTCCCCATCCTGCCTCATCCAATTTTGCTGAAGCCTTTGTTCGTTCCGCATGCTACCAAGGTCTAAAAATCATCTTTAATATTAACGATAAAACACCTTAAAGTTGTACTCTTATGTATTAATAGCATACCAAATGTGTAAGTGCCCTATACA